TTGTACTTAATAACTATCGGCCTGCTATATTTAATAAAACGGTTTTAGGCTTATTTTAAGGCCTGCTCATTTATCTTTCGAACAAATGGTCATCCGTGTCTTTAGTGCAAGTAATAACTGCACAGGAGAAAATTTAGTAAAACCTATAATTTTTAGATGCCGCTTAATTATACAAATTTACTATGACATTCCATAGTCGGTTACAATGTTTGAATTTTCTTGTTCAAACTTTAATGTTCTTGTTGCCACATCAGAAAAACTAGTAAAAACTTGTTAAAAACATTCTAAAAGAGATTAGGTTGTTTTATTTATTTCAAAATCCTAAATTATTTCCAGAAATCATCAAAACAATCTTATGTCCATGCATCGTCCGAACTAACGCCATCGAATCGGGCGCAATGTAAACATAAATTAGCAAGTTGACGGCAAGCTAAAACACGCTTCAGCTGGGAATATAAACGCATTTGAAGTCAGCAAGTGAATTTAAAATAGTGTATTGGAAGCCTTTATTACTTAGTTTTTACAAGCTATTGCCAAAATGCCTCAATTTGCACGTTTTGTTGACAAAATAAGTTATTTTCATCAAGTACCGATTTGTTATTGCATCTCAAATTTTTGACTCTCCAATCGCAATCACTTAAAATACTATTATTCACGAACTACTGGATTAAATTTACGAAACAACCCATCGTTGGAAAGCTGGATGTCTACGCTTTAAAACAAATGTAAACCTGAACGTTTTACTCTAATATTCGTTTCGAAATTTATATTTGAAGCGAGGACTCCGTTTTTTATGATACACCCTGTATATATATATATATATATATATATATATATATATATATATATATATATATATATATATATATATATATATATATATATATATATATATATATATATATATATATATATATATATATATATATACCGGGTGTCCCAAAAAAAAGTACTCCGGTTTGATTTATAATAACTTCTAAACAAGTAAAGCTATCAAACAGAAATGACTTGCATTAAATAGAGGAAGGACTAACTTAGATTTTGATATATTACAGTTGCATTTTACTTAAAAATTCACGGAGATATTAATGTTCAAAATCGGGAGCATATTTTGGGATGTGTCTAAAATTAGCGAAAATCGGCGTATCAAATTTTAACTCCAGCGTTTGTTCGCTTAATGACATATCAGGGTAACTTGTATTTCAGCGAATTGTCGTTAGGGTTGGTAAGGGAAATGGCGTAGATTTAGCCATCTTACATGTAAGTCTTAACTCATTGTTTCCTGAAATATGAACGTTCGAAATTATGTAAGTATTTAATAGGTCTTTGCAAACTTAAGGTACATGAAAGACCATGCAAGGCAGGGGCTTCAATTTTTCTTAAATAACCTATTTTTTATGTTTTTCATGGGTTCAAAACAAAGTTGATTATTTCTCGGTTAGAGCAGGATGAATATTGTTCTTTAATGGAGGAAATAATATTGCTTTTTGCAAATACACATCACAGTATCAAAGCTACTATTTTGTTACGTTTTGTTCCAAAAATGTTGGATGTCTCTGGGGAGTTGCATGCTTGTTATGTCTTTACTTATGGAGTTGTATGGTTTGATTGTGTTTCATTCTCAGTTTATTCTGAACTTGCCAAGATTAAGAAAGGCAAAATAGTTTTGGGTGTTCTTAACAAGATTTCAGAACGTTGCAGAAGTTAGAAAATTCATTCAATGTGAAGTTAGAAAATTCACAATTCCATTGTGACAGCGTGCCCTAATTCAGAACTACGAACGATCCATGACGATCCTTCGCGATGCAGTGGTCTCATGAAACTAAGGAAACGTATTCGTGCTAGGAACACACGCGAATTTCGGACGAATAAATCTTGCTTGTATTTTGTAGATAATAATACTTAGTTTCATAATAAACAATTTGTCAAGTGTCATTTATTTACAGGTAATAGTGCATGTTTCAGTTGGGTAAATATTGATTAATATTTGATACGCTGTTTTTGGCATATTTCAGATACATCCAGAAATATGCTCCCGATTTTAAACATTAATATCTCCGTGAATTTTTAAGTGAAATACAACTGTAATATATCAAAATCTAAGTTTGTCCTTCCTCTATTTGATGCAAGTTATTTCTCTTTAAAAGCTTTACTTGTTTAGAAGTTATTTCGAATCAAACCGGAGTACTTTTTTTTGGGACACCCGGTATATATATATATATATATATATATATATACACATATATATACACATATATATACACATATATATATATATATATATATATATATATATATATATATATATATATATATATATATATATATATATATATATATATATATATATATATATAGTGCTCGATACGTAAGTAGAGCAAATGAAAGACAAACTTGAGTTACTTCGTTTAAAACATTTATTCACGACAAATTTGTTTCGTATGGCAAGCTTAGTTTGCCCAGGGCGCTGTAAAACACGGGCGGTGAAACGGCTATGACGCCTCTGATCTATGTGTGATGCAGGTCCCCCCGCATATTTTCATTTTTATTCGAATTCGATGTGGTTTGATCAGGCATGCATGTTTGTTTTGACTTCTTTTTAAAATTACTACGTAAAAAGGTACAATTCAAGCTGAATTCACAATGGATTTGGGATCTGTGCTATTACTATAGACAAAATCTTTTTTCCGGATTCTTAATCACGGCTGATTATATGGGGAATGTTGTAGTGTAAGATATAAGTCTGGGATCTCACTCACGAGGATCGATTGTTTTTGCAAAACAACTTCGTTCGTTCATAAGATGAAAAAAAAAGACGAAGACAAAGTTTTTTAAACGGTTGTTGTTGTAAAACCTGCAACTGGAATGTGTGTTTGGAAATCAGGTATGTTCAATCACACGTATTTTTGTCAAGTTCCACCAGATGAATTGATAAAAACAGCAAGTTTTTTTTTTCAAGCGATAGTTTGTTGTCGCAGTTTTACAAGCGCGGAAAATTTTTAACTTTTAAATATTTTATGCACAATATATGAAAACTAGTTTTATTTTGATGTTTTTGTATAATTTAAGTACCTAGTTTTCTGAAAATCACCAAATGAAAATGGGCTTTTTTAATTTTTAAACATTTTTTTGGCCTTGTTTTTGACATGTGCATGCCAAATCTACACATGAAATACAAGCAAGCGATAGTTTGTTGTCGCAGTTTTAAAAGCGCGGAAAATTTTCAACTTTTAAATATTTCATGCACAATATATGAAAACTAGTTTTATTTTGATGTTTTTGTATAATTTAAGTACCTAGTTTTCTGAAAATCACCAAATGAGAATGGGCTTTTTTAATTTTTAAGCATTTTTTTGGCCTTGTTTCTGACATGTGCATGCCAAATCTACACATGAAATACAAGCAAGCGATAGTTTGTTGTCGCAGTTTTACAAGCGCGGAAAATTTTTAACTTTTAAATATTTTATGCACAATATATGAAACCTATTTTTATTTTGATGTTTTTGTATAATTTAAGTACGTAATTTTCTGAAAATCACCAAATGAAAATGGGCTTTTTTAATTTTTAAACATTTTTGCCCTGATTCAGTTTGACATGTCCATGCCGAAATCTACACATGGAGTAGCATTGCCTTCGACTTTGCGTTTTTGAAATCTGACACCCTATGAAAAAAGCTGGAAAAAAGTATGTTTAAGCAAAAAAGCCGATTCTCATTTGATGATTTT